TTTTTTTTTTTTTTTTTTTCGTGTCCGCACAGATGGTGACATTTTCCACACTTTTTCATTTCCCATTTTGCATATATTTCGCCTGTGGTAAGGTAGATCATTACAGGTTATTGACTCTCTTATGTCGTTCCCTACATCTTTGCCATTACTTCTGTGTGTGCCTGTTTTTTTTTTTTTTTTTTTGTTTTTGCAAACCTGTCAAATGCTACAATTTCCCCCCTACACCAGTGTGCTATAACTCCATTTTATTCCCCTGCACATTTGTCCAAGTTGCCCCCAAATTTGTTTCTCCTTCTGATTCTCACATAATATATTTTCCCCCCTTTTGTAACACAGCTTCAAAATTATGACGTTATTTTTTGTTTTTACGTTGGACAAATTTATGTGACTTTTTTTTTTTTTTTTTTTTTTTTCCTGCGTTTGTCTACATTTTCCCATATCGTCCTGCACTTCTTAATGGACCCATTTTGAAGGAACCGTGTTGTGCCCTTTCACACTTCCCCTTTTCCTATCCATGTTCTCATTTGTTCATACTTTTAAGTAATCTATATGTGGTTCTTCAAAATAATCATTGGTCAATCTGTCAAGGGTACCCATATAACTCTGCGAAAACTATTCCGGGCAAATATATCGCATCACTACACCATTTGATATTTTAGCAACGGCGACACTACTCCATTAATAGTACTCTGGGGGCACACGTACACCTCATAGAATGGTACTGTAAATACGTGCGTGTAGTACACACAATGCTAATCTTCTTACAAAGGAGACTGCAATGCAAAGCTGATAGCTGAACCCCCAAACTGGGATCCCTTCACTGTAAACCCCAAATGTCCAAATACTAAAGCCGGAATTTCTAATCCCTAAACCGTAGAAACTTGAACCCTTAAAACGTAATAACCTAAACCTGTTACTCTAAGAGTGTAAACCCTAAACCCGGAACGGTAAACTCTAGAACCAGGGAACCCTGCATCATAACCTGGGGAACCTGTAATCCGGAACCCCTAAATCCTGAAACTCTAAACTGTAAAGCCTGAAGTTAGATAAAGAACCCTATAATAATATAACGTTCACCCTCAGCAATGTATCCTGAACCCTCATACCTCGAGAATTTGGCTTCTGAGACAGGTGGCGTTTTAAGAATGGCCATACATTCGTTTGCTGTTTTAAGGGTGACTTGTTTCCATGAAGCTCTGAAGTCATTTAGAATTCTTTTGAAGTCCTCTCTGCTCAATTTGTCCTTTGCCATCAGGGTATAAAATACTTCATTAACATGTTCATGTTGTTTTGTAAAATTATTGCGAACTACCTTTGCACACTTCTTCCAGGTCGTGCTATATTTTTGGACAGTTTCAATGGGTTGGTTGTTTCTTGGGTTTACGAGTTTTTGGAGCAGATATTTTTGTTCTTCATTTCTGTACGATTGCCAGTATAGAGACAATAATTCCCATTTTTCAGGAACTTCTTCCATTTCATTTAATTTGCTATTTATTTCAGAATCGCTCAATCTTTCATCTAAACAAGTCATTTCATAAAGGAAAGCACTAGTTTTGTGCGTTTCGTACTCTTGTAATTTGTGGAACCCCCCAAATAATAATTCGTCCATTTTACCTGTATCATCTATGTGATCTTGTTTATCATATCTGAATTCACTTTTGTGACCTTTTGATATTTCCTTTGCATATTTGTTCACCATTTTTTGCATTGTACATACTTTTCTCGGCCACTTGAACTTTTTTTTTTTGTTTCTTTTTTCGTGCTGTGTGTAATCATCATTATCCATCTCATATGCTTCGTCCATGTACTTACAGAGCTTTTTATGATTCAGGTATCTATTTACGCAGTATCGTTTTTTCTCCTTTACTTGTTCAGATGGTTCTGTTGCTTCTTCAAGTTCAGCAGATTTTCCTTTATCCCTTCGGTTATAGGAACGGATTAGCACATACAGCAGCATGAGTCCTATTGTCACGACAAGTGGAACAGCGGATCCAATAATCCATGGAGTCAACCCTTTAATGCAGCCGTAAAACAACGCTACTTGTACAGAAACCAAGAATGGCCAATGTAGGGAAGATCCCCCCCCCCCCTTATTCCAACGTAAAGCATGTGCCAGAGAACTACCAAGTCCCCTGGGTTTCTTTTTCACTTTTTCACATTGTTCCTCCTTTTGTGAAGGCGCTGACAACGCTTCTGATGCAACCTGTGCATCCGATGATCCAGACTGTTCACTAGGCGCCGTGGTCTCAGCAGAGGAGTGTCCACTAGGACTGCCTGGAGATATACTTTGTTCTGGTGTTTGCTTATCCGTTCTACTCTTCACGTCAGTTCCTTTTGTCTTCTTTTCCTTCTTTTCAGTTTTTACCTTATTCTGTGGTGACTGCGGTAACGATCCTTCTGATGCAACATTCGTTGTTGGTTTACCGGACTTTCCTGGCTTCTGCTTCGATGCCAGTTTTTTATCTTGACCCTTGCCAGGACTGAGGAGCAATGTATTATGTGGTGGTGGTGCTTGCATATCCAATTCAACGGTCAGTAATCTACTGATCCTGACACCGAGAGTGTCATTTTGCTCGGCCGTATTCTTCCATGATGTGCCTAGTTCGGTTACCTAACATATAAGAACAAAAGGGGGAAGGATGTATTTGGAGGATTATACATTACGCATGTATTTGGGTAGAAGGAAAAAAGAGCAGGTGTTATTTTCTTACAGGGAGGGAAAAAATGGAGGTAATAATGGGATTCCGCATTTTGAGAATGCCTTAGTTATTATCATACATCGTGAAAACATTGCCTAGAGTGCAGTATACAGCTAAATATTGATAGTTTCGCGCAGGAAAACACCATTTTGTTCTTTACTTTATATATTTATATATGTAATATATGATTTTTTCCTTTTTTCTAATGTACATGCATGAATTATAGGATTGTTGTTTTCTTTCTTGTTTTCTATATATACATATGTACTACATGATGCTTTGTTTTTTTTTTTTTTTTTTTTGTTCTAATATATATGGTAGCATTACAGGACTTTTTTTTTTTTTTTCTGTGCACACGATTACAGGTTGTTGTTTTTTTTTTAATATACATATGTACATTATATCATTTTTTTTCTTTTTCCTTTAAAATATATATAGAGATTACAGGATTGTTCTTTTTTTTTTTTTTTTTTTTTTTTTT